GCTGGCTGCAAGCCAGGAGCCATAAAGCCAGGAGGTGAGCGACAGCGAGCCCCCCAAGGCCCACGTGTTTGGTTTTTATACCCAACCTGGCTGCTTAACTCCACCCTCAGGTCCCAGCCACCTTCCCTTTGGTGGTGACGGGATTTGTCTTTCCCAATGTCCTCATGGCTTTGGTCTGGAGTGGGGGTGGGGTCCACAAAGCCTGTATGGGATTAGCTCAGGACATCATTTCCCCCTAACATCACCTCAGAGGGAGCCCCAAATGGAAAGTGTGGATCAGGAGGGGGTAGCGATCGCTGAAAAACGAAGTGACCTCCGTGATCCGAGGGACCCTAGAGGCAACAATTCACCCTGGGAGAGTCAAGAGTCAAGCGTTGGTGGTGCACAGGCCGGCTGAGTCTTTTCGTTCTTCGTGATTATTTGGTGAAGTGCCGCAGGAAGAGAAGGTGTGGGCCAAAAGGAGGAAGAGCAGGATGGCCCCTCCAAGGGAGATGAGAAGTTGTTGAGGTGGAAGTGGTCGCATGGATTGCAGTTGCCAGGGAAGCCCAGTAAGGGAGTAGAGCAAGTCCCTGCTCCGCTCACGCAGCGCTAGAGGCAGCAGGGCCTGTTCTCCGCAGGGAGGGTGCCCCGGGTCGCAAACCGGCGGCCGTTAAGCCTTAGTGAGCTCGGAGGGCTTCCTGGCTTCCAGTTCCACGGCGAGAGATAGAAAGAGAGAGAGTGACCGAGAGGGAGAGTGGAGGGTTCGGGACGGGGCAGGGTCCCCCCGCGGGATTGAACCCCGTTCCCGGCCAACGCACCAGATGAACGGTTCGGCGCCATGAAGAGAAGGAGAGCCAGGCTCAATTTCTCAAAGGAAGGGAAAATGTATTGCACCCCGGGCGGACCTCACGGACCCAAGGTGGGGGTCCATGCAGCCGCGCCCATTGTGAGGAGAGATGTCCCTTTTATAGGGTGAGGGAGGTCAGGCAGGAAAACTGGTTGCGGGGGAAACAGGTTTAGGCGGAACAAAGTTGTTTTGGGTGGAGCCGAGTTGTTTTCTCCTGTTTATGGCTTCAGTTTAGGCTTGGTGGTATCAGTGGTCCTGGTGTCAGGGTCATCTTGTCCTTTTCTATGTGGGCTTCCTCAATCTGTTATAGGACAAGGAGAGGGGCAGCCCAAACCCCGCAAACCTGCCTATTCTAAATGGGTTCTGCCATCCGCCGCATCAACACAAAACATAGGAGACTTTAATTGGAAGGAACTTTAATACAACTAGGAAACGATACAGGAAAGGCAAATAATCTAGTTTCTAAATTAAGCACCCAAAGTTACCCGTCCCCTCGTGGGTAAAAGTCCATCCATATGGGATTGGCCCAGAGCAAGGCCCCAAAGCCTGCCACAAGTCTAAAGCATCTTCCAGTGGGGACCCACAGCAAAGGGTCAGAAACAAGCAGACAAGCCCGGAAGGAAAAGAGCAAAATCAACATCAAGATAAAAGCTGCCATGGTCACCTCCCCACGGGTCTCACCCACATCTGTGTCACCCCGTCCACGACCAAAAGACAAGCTCAGTTTCTTTACGTGACTCTAGGCTCCATGCGCCTCCTCCAGGTCTCCTGGCTCCATCCTGCTTCCTTCCTCAGTCTCTTCTGCAGCTTCTCCTCTTCCTGCTCAGCTCCACCCTCCCTTGGGAGGGGCAGGGAACCTCCCCCTTTCCTGGGGACCACCCTGTTACAATTCCTGGGCCCTGCATGGACCTTTCACCAAATAAATAAAGTATAGGACCAAATAAGTATAAGACCATACTTATAGGACCAAATAAATAAAACGTGTAGTGCTTTGGAGAAAAATTAATCAGGAGTCCGAACAGAGTTGGATGGGGTGTCACTTAAATAGTGTAGTCAAGGAAGGCATCACTGAGAAGGGGACATTTGAGAAAAGATCTGAAGGAGGTGAGAAGTGAGCCCTGTGGGTAGTGAAGAGAGTGAGAAGACAGAGTGCTGGACTGTTCTGGAGGGAGCAGCATGTACAAAGGCCCTGGGGTGAGAGTTAGTCTGACGTGTTGGAAGAATTGTTAGGGAGAAAAGGATGTCCTAAATCTAATTCCATTAAGGCTTTGTGGACTCCACCCCCACCCCAGGCCAAAGCTATCAGGACATTGGAAAAGACAAATCCCATCACCACCAAAGGAAAGGTGGCTGGAACCTGAGGGTGGGGTTAAGCAGCCAGGTTTGGTATAAAACCAGACACATGGGCTTTGGGAGGTTCCCTTTTTGGCTCTCCAACAGCTCCTGGCGCTCCTCAGAGTGCCATTGGGTTTCCAGGTCAGCGATCGGGTAGGACGCATTGAAGACTTTATTTCCCTATTTTTTTCCTGAGTTGTACATTTCCTCATTTCCCTTTCCCTTGTAAATAAACCTTTTATTAACCTTTTGTGTGTGTCTGTAGTGCAGTATTAATAAGTCCCTTTTATGCACGCGAGTGAGGACCCACAGCCAGGCAACCTGTTTTATATCGGGGCTGCTCTGTAACAAAACAACCAGACGATCACAGGCATTTCCCAAAATGTGCTCAGTGAGTTGATAGATTTGCCGGCTTTACCAGGTTTTATTACCCAAGATAAAGCTTGGGGGGATGGTGGTCTGCACCACAGCAGGTGCTGACAGAAATGGAAGCAATTCCAAGTGAGATCCAAGCATGACAGTTGGGAAGGCAAATTCCCTTGTGTGTGGGTATAATGGGGGAGTTGGGACCACCCCCAGGGGCTCTTCTTAGCCCAGACCTGATGAGTGTAAGTTGTTTGGACCAGCAGTGCTGATGCACCTTCTCTATTTTCCCCTAAAGAGCCCCAAATGCTTTACTTGACCTGCTACCAAGTAGCAGCCTGGACTGAGTGGAGCCTCCCGTTTCCATGGAGACCAAATCTGCTGTGTCAGGCCTGGCAAGTGGGTGTGAAGGATGGAACTGTCTGAGCGCACCACCTCGAGTGACCGCCAGGGGGCGATGTCACCCACTCTGTATGTAGCTGCCCCCTGTACAGTTATTTATGCCTCGTATTAAAACCAAACAACAGAACCCAGTCTCTCCCAAGGACACTTGGGGGTTCCCTGTCTCATTCCCGATGGAGGTTGTTATATGAAAGGCATTTTACTTTAACCACATTGATGTCTTAGGGGTGGGGTGTTACATAGAGTGGGGGCTGGTGGTCCTACAACCTGGTCAAACGGGGCTTCCCACCAGGCCACGCTTCTCCCCACATCTGAAAACCCTGTGGGGCCAGGAGCTGCAGGTCGCCCGCGGGGCGTGGCCTCACGGGAAGCCAGGGCCAGGCACAGCCCCTGACCCAGCCCGACCTTAGATGCCAACATTTCTCCCTGGGCCAATCATGAGAGTTTGGCCAAAATGGTTCGGTGCTGGGTGAGCTCAGGCTGCCTTTCAGAGACTGGGCAGCCAGTGAGGGAAATTTTATTGAGGGCAGAGACCCATCTATTCCCAGAGAGAGCAGGGAGGATTCAGCAGGGCTGGGTGCTGGTCAGCTCAGTCTGGTCCCAGCTTGGGGTGGCCCCTGCTCCCCTGGCTTCCTGGCTCTTTCTCCCCTTCTCTGCCTTTCCTCTCCTTTCTCTTCTACCTCACTCCTCCCTCTCTCTCCTTTCCCTCCTCCCCTCCCTTATTTCACTCCCTCCCCTGGTCCTTACAGGCCCTCTTTTTCTTTGTCCCCTCCTACTCCCTCCTCTCCCCCTTCTACTCCCCACTCCTCTCCCCCCTCCCCTCTCCTTGCCCTTCCCTCCTCTCCCCTTTCTCTCCTGGCCACAGCTGCTCCCCTGGTGCAGGGTGGGGTGAGAAAGAGGTATGTCAGTCTCCCATGTCCTGACAATGCCTCTGAGCACCATTGCCAAGAACAGCCACCAGGACCTGTGCCCTCCCACTGTCACGGGCACACAGATGCCAGGATTTGGGATCTCGCTACCATGCAGACTGGTGCAGCAGGGCTGGGACTCTGCATTTCTATTGAGCTGCCAGCACTGGGCTTTGTACCCCCAACTCCCCTGGCACTGGACTCTTGCTGGCATGGAAAGATGAGTTGGCATCACCTGGACATAGAGCCAGGCCCCTTGCATGGCCCAGTGACTGAACAGAACCCTCACACTGAGCCACTCCCACCACCCCTAGCCCCCAATGCAGGAACCCTCTTAGGAACTACAGAGCAAGGCCTCTTCTGAATTAGCCTCTCCCAACCCTATCTTCTGCTCCCTCCCACTGAGACTCCGGGGACCTGGAAGAATGCTGGGTTCCTCAGAGGGGGGGGGGGCCCTCTAGTCCTATCTCAGTAGCAGGGGTGTTTCTTCTGTTCGCCTGTCACCAAGCCTCCCCTGACAGAGCTCCCCGCCCCAGTGGAGCTGGCCTGTCTTCTCATACCTTGGGGGATTTGTGGGGGATCCAGGGGGAGCAGGTGGGGCTATCTGGACACTTCTGCTCAATGTGAAGCAAGGAGCAAACTTTTCCTCCATGGCCCTTGGCCAGGACCCCCTCCCCCTAATTCTAGAGATGCCAAAATGTCTGTCCGCACATTTAATAAGCCACACCATGCCAGGCCTGTGCCAAGCGTTTTCTTTCTTTTTTTTTTTTTTAAGATTTATTTATTTATTTATACAAGCACTGGGTACAGTCAGAAGCGGAGGAGGGTGAGAGAATTGATCAGAGCCAGAACGGGGAACAGAAAGGCAGACTGATGAAATACACTGCTGAGGGGATCAGCGGGCGGCAGGAGAGGTCTGCGCGCCATGTGGACCCTTGCCGGTGGCTAGGGATCGAACTGGCGCTGCAGAGGCTGCGGGCAGCTTCACAGCCCAGGGCTCAACCGCTGGGCCACTGGGGAGGCCCCCAAGCATTTTTTTTATCTGAGGGACATGGGATGGCTGGGAAGGCTAGGGGGGATCCGAGGGCGCTAGAACAGAGGAGGTGCTGGTGAGCAGACGAGGACAGCAGCACCCCAGCTTTCACCGCCAGGGTCAGGGATCCTGCCTATGTCTGCACCTGGGTCAGCTGGATGTCACCCCCCACTTCCACGGTGTCGATGGCCCGCAGGTCATTCACACGGTGCTTGTATTCACACAGGGGCTGACCGTTCACTGCCACCTTCAAGCAGCCTCTTTCACACACGATCCACACCTGGGCAGAGAGGCCGTCGTTGGCGCCACGCTTGGGAAGTCCTCAGCGCTAAGCGCAGGCTCCTGTGTCCCCACCCCAGCAACCCGCTTCCTCAAGCCTCCCTTCAGCCCCAACCCGCTTCCCAGCCACGCACAAGGATTAGCTCCTCACTGAACACTTGGCCTCAACTTCCCAGGCCTCATCACGCTGTGTCCCTCGCCAAGGTTGCCCTTCCTGCCCTGCACACATGGGGGCGCTGCTAAACCCCCAGGGGATTCACAGCCCTTCCAGGCAAGCCTTCCCTGCCTTTCCTGCCTCCTCACTGCCTCCCAGTCCAGCCGTGCTCCTCCCAGGCCTGTCCTGCCCTCCTCCCTCTCCTGCTAGACCTTGACCCACCCAGGGCTCAAGCCATCCAGTCCTCAGCGCCCAGCACACTCGAGTGCTCAGAGCCGGCGCTGCCATGTCCGGAGGTACCAGGTCCACCCCAACACTCCCTCAAGGTGGCTGGGCCCCGCTGCGGGGCAGGGCTCAGTCTGTCACAAGCGCCACCTCATTTCACCCTAATAACGGGCTCTATGGCCAGCGGCCCCAGGTCGTTTTTTCGAGGAGGAAATTGAGCCCAGAGCAGTGAAGCCACCTGCTCAAGGTCACACAGCTCCCTAGACTCAAGCTGGGGCTCTCTGGCTTGAAACACCCCAACAGACTGTGTGAACATCCAAGCTCTTTCCCTGGTCCTCGAGGCCCACACAGTCCTTTTCAAGGCTGGGCAGAAAACTAGGGCATGTTTTCAAACACGGATGCCCAGACCCTTCCTTCTTTGGCTGGGGACCAGGTCAGGCATTGATTTTTCTTTTTTAAACTCTGCAGTATTTGAGTGTGTGGTCAGGGCTGAGACACCAGCCCCGTGTGAGGGGCCTCCAGTGACACCCCCAACCCTTCCCCCTCTCTCCCCTGCAGCCCTGCCTCCCTGATCCCAAAGAGCCCAGGCTCGGGGCTCTGCGCATGGGACCTGCCGCTTCCACCCACTGAGAAGGCACCCTCAGGCCTTTGCTTGGCACGATCTTTCTGCCATTGAGGTCTCAACTGAACTGTGGCGTCTGTGCCAGCCAGCGGTCCCCAGGCCAGGCAGGTGCCTCGGCATGGGCTGCCCCCCCACCAACCTTCCCCCACCCCCACCCCAGCCCCTGTGCGGCTCTCTGCATGGTTCCTGTTGTACCTGCAGGGAGCTGCCCCGCCGTCCTGTTGCCTGGTTCTTCCTCCACCTAAACTGTAACCTCAGCAGGGGCAGGGCCGCCTGTGCTTCCTGCTGTGCCCCAGCCCCTGGCTACTCTGCACAGAGGGGCCCTCAGTCACAGAGCAGATGAGGGATTGTTGGGTGAGGAAAAGCATGACGCCTCCTTCTGGATGTGTTGGGTCACTTTGGGCTCCATGAGTGGAGGTAAGTAACCTGCACTTGTGAGTTTTTTAGAGCACACCGGCGCCGAGTCCAAGAACAACCAAGACCCAAGTTCAATGCAAAAGCAAAAGTGGCCTTTATTAGCTAGCTCGAGCTAGGGTCTGAACACCCGGAGTGGAACCAACACAGGGGCCTCGCCCAGACAGGGTTGGACCCCGAACTTCAAAATTTAGCAGTTTATATAGGCATTTAGAATGGGTTCTTTAGGGTAATCTGACAGTTAGAGATGGCATCTCTTAGAATCTGGGTTCCGGGAATTGCAGCCTCTCTGTCAGCTATGCTCTTATAATGGCTGCTATATTCTGAAAATGGCTGCTGTTATGCTTCACCTTACATTCCCCCCTTTTTCTAAAACGCCATTTTAAGGTCCCGAATGCATGTTTGGAGCTTGCATGGGTTGCAGGGGCTAGTATTGTTGTCTAAGTACAAGAGTTTGAACCACCTCGAGCCTATTGCGAACAAAAGCAAGCAAGTGATTGAGTATACAAGTGATACAGTTAACAAGTTTGTCTTTCCCCCATTTTTTGCAATTCCCCTTATCTAGCATTAACAGGATTGATGACTTGTCTTTCCCATTTGTTGCAGCTTCCCCTCCCCTTGGGAAGAAAAAAAAAAAAAAGCTGGCGCCACCGGTTTCCCTGTAGACCCTTCCCCCTCGCCCTAAGGAAAACAAGTTGGCGATCACGATCACCCGTCTCTGTGCCTTGACACCTTCCCCTTCCCTTAAGATGAATGAGCTGACACCCATCCATCTCCCTGTTGAGCTGGCGCCCACTTGTCTCTGTGCGGACCCCTTCCCCCACCCCTTCGCGGATGCCTACCCATCTCCCCCTGTATAAATACCCCTGCCCGCTGCCAAAGAGCAGGACGGTGGTTTTTCGGACATGAGTCTGCCGCCCTCCTCATTTGTCGACAAATAAAACCGCTTTCCTTTTCCTCAAACTCAGTTTCCTTTTATTGGCTGAGGGAAACTGAGGCCGGCGTTCGGTAACACAAGGGCCAAATGTAAGCATTCGCAAGAGCAAAACTAAAGGTCCCGCAATGGCCGACAACAGGGTCGTCAGCCACGGGGAGGCGTTAAACCAAGATTCAAACCATCCCTGTTGGGCCTCCCGTTCTCTTTTTTTGTTTAGCTAAACCCTTTCTTACTTTGGCAAGGGATTCTCTAACGACCCCTGAAAGGTCAACATAAAAACAGCACTCTTCAGCTAAAGCCGCACACAGCCCACCCTGCTGTAGAAGAATAAGGTCCAGTCCTCGGCGGTTTTGTAACACTACCTCAGCTAGAGAGGATAGGGATTCCTGCATGTGCCCGTTATCTGATCCAATTCCTCTAGGTGTTCCATACCTGGGAACAATATCTTCTAATAAAATTTTACAGACGATAAGGGCCATTTCCTTTCTAGTGGGGAAGGCCTCAACCCACCCAGAGAAGGTGTCTACCAAAACTAAGAAGTATTTGTACCCATACTTTCCTGGTTTTATTTCTGTAAAGTCTACTTCCCGTATATCTCCAGGGAGCTCACCTCGTAGCCGCTTTCCCATCTGTTCAACTGTCTTACCGGGTTTCATTTGCTGACAGGCCTGGCAGTTTTCTACTATTTTCTTGGCTATCTGGTGAATTTTAGGGAAGTCTAAGCAAGCAGTCTTAATTAAAGCTCTCATATTTTCTGTTCCTAAATGCGTGGTCCGATGAAGGCGTTTTAAGCAAGTCTTGGCCTACCGCTTCAGGCAGAAGTAGTGTCCTGAGTCCTCTGCCAGCCGTTGTCTTGCTGAGCCCCAGCATGTTCTTTCTGGAGCCATTGGTGGTCTTTTTCTGTGAATGTAGGAGCCTGACTTGGAAGAGGTCCCATGCCGGGTTCCGGGAGGTCAACCTTGGTCACCTGAATGGTCACCAGTTCCTCAGTCGATAGTGCCGCTTTCTGGGCCTCCTCGTCCACCCTGTGGTTGCCTTGGGCCTCCATAGTGTCCAGTCTTGGTGACCTCTGCAATGTACAATTGCTAGGCGGAAGGGTAGCTGGACAGTCTTCAATAGCTCCTGAATGATGGGAGTGTGTTTGATTGGCCTCCCCTCTGAGGTGAGGAATCCACATTCCATATAGATTGCACCGTGTGCATGAGCAGTGGCAAAAGCATAACGACTGTCCATATAGACTGTTAGCCGCTTTCCTCGGGCTAGTTGGAGGTCCTTTGTTAAAGCAACCAGCTCCGCTTTTTGTGCAGAAGTGTCATTGGGTAGTCTGTGAGCCCAAATAACTTTGTCTTTACTGACCACTGCCGCTCCCGCCCTTCAGAGACGGTCCTGCACCAGGCTACTGCCATCTGCGAACCATATGTGGTCCGCCTCAACCAGGGTGGTATCCATCAAATTGTCCCTTACAGAGACGGCCTTAGCCAGGATGTCATGGCATTCGTGCTGCGTATCCTGCAAGGCAGGATCCGGCAGCAACGTGGCTGGGTTAAGGCTGGTTTTGGTTTTAAAAACCAATTCCCCAGGGGGAATTGAGGAGCAGCCCCTGATAATGGGTAAGGCATGCGTTGCTGATCCACTTACCCGATGGCTGTCTCCAGAACCCCTCAATTCCATGGGCAGTTACCACTTCAGTCTGCTGGCCGAGAGTCAGCTTGTCGGAGTCTTTGACCAGGATAGCCACAGCCGCTATGGCTCTCAGGCACGGGGGCCATCCTGCTGCCACAGGGTCCAATCGCTTGGACAGGTACGCGACGGCCCGCTTCCAGGGTCCCAGTGCCTGAGTGAGGACTCCCTTGGTGATCCCCCTGCTTTCAGCCATGAAAAGGACAAAAGGTTTGGTGGGGTCTGGTAGGGCTAATGCCGGGGCTGACAGCAAGGCGGTCTTGAGAGTCTGAAAAGCCTGGTCTTGTTTAGGGACCCAAGGAAAAGAGTGCATCATTTCCCTTGGTTAGATCGTACAGTGACTGTGCCAGGTCAGCGAACCCCAATATCCAGAGTCTGCAGTAGCCCACCGACCCGAGAAACTCCCGTACCTGTCGCCGGTTTGTCGGCCTTGGGATATTTAGGATGGTCCTGGTCATGGCTGGGGTCAACCAGCGATGTCCCTCTTTGAGGCGGTAGCCCAGGTACGTGACCTCCGTAGAGCAAAACTGGGCCTTTTTCGCGCTGGTGCGTTAGCCCAGTCGGCCTAACAGCCACAATAGGTCACTGGTGGCTGTTAAACAGGCCTCTTGGTTGGCCGCTGCCAACAGGAGGTCATCCACATATTGGAGGAGAGTAACATGAGGGTGGGAGGGCTCCAGGTCTCTGGCCAGTGCCTCATTGAATAGTTTTTATATCCTTGTGGCAAGTGAGTCCATGTTAATTGCTCCACCCAGCCCATATTGTCCTGCCAATCAAAGGCAAAAATATCCTGGCTTTGAGGTGCCAAAGGGATGCAGAAAAAAGCATCCTTAAGGTCTAAAATCTAGTACCAGGTGTGTTGTGGAGACAGGGCACCCAGCAAAGAATATGGATTGGGCACCGTGGGATGAATGTCAGCCACACGGGCATTAACCTCGTGTAGATCCTGAACCGGGCGTTAGTGAGAAGAATGAGTTTTTTTGACTGGTAGTAATGGGGTGTTCCAAGCAGAGTGGCACGAGGGAGGATTTTTAAGTCCTTTAGCTGTGCTATGGGTGGGGCAATGCCTTGTCTGGCTGCTAACGGCATAGGATACTGACGAATGCGAACTGGGTCAGCCCCTGGTTTTAGTTCCACAAAAACAGAAGTCTGGAGGGCGGCAAAGCCAGGACCCCCGTTTCGGCCCACCCCTTGGGAAATTGTTGCAACCAGTCAATCATCATACTGTTGTCCCCCCATGGTTTTGAATACAACTGGTATTCGTCAACCAGTGCCATCGTGAGGACATGGACAAGTGGGTCTTGTTGGAGCCCAGCGTCGAGCGGGAGTCCCGCTCGAGAGACTCCTCCTGGAATTACCATGAAGGAGTGGCTGACCGTTCCTTGGGCCAGATTGACTCGGCGGTCTGTTGTCCATGCATATTCTCGAATTCCGGTTGCCCCTTGGACCCCAGTGGTGCAGTTTTGTTTTTCTCCTTGATCCTGTATGAGAACTGAATACTGGGCCCCTCTGTCCACCAAGAAGTCAACCGGTTTCCCCTCCACTGTTAAAATTACCCTAGGCTCGGGAAGGGGAGCCGAGCCCTGACCCCCCTAGTCACTGTCCTCCGTGTTGACCTGGAGAACCTTTCCTGGTTTGCGTAGAGGCTCAGGCTCAGGCTTGTCAGGGCAGTCTCTGGCCCAGTGTCCACGTTTCTTGCATCGGGCACACTGGTCTCTGTCCAGTTTGGGCCTGGGTTTCCTTCCTTGGGATTTGTCACCTCGGCCCATTGCTGCGAACAGAATATGGGTCATTTGGCGGTTCTGCCTCTTGTTCTGCTGCTCGCTGGCGACGGTCTTCTTCTCTAATTTTGTCTTCCCTTTCTCTTTGCTCTATCCTAAGCCTTTCCTGTTTTTCCTCCTCCGTTTCCCTATTATGATACACCTTTTCAGCTATCCTGAGGAGTTCTTGTATTGGCCTCTCCCCCAGTCTTTCAAGTTTCTGGAGCTTTTACTTTATGTCTGGGGCTGCCTGATTGACAAAAGCTAGTGTGACCGCTGCCTGGCTATCGGGAGCCTCGGGGTCTAGGGAACTATATTGTCTGAAAGCATCCATGACGCGTTCTAGAAAGGCAGCCGGACTTTCCGTCGGTCCCTGTCTTATATCATGGATCCCAGCCAAATTTGTCGGTTTTCTAGCCGCTGCTCGGAGCCCAGCTATCAGAGTCTGGCGGTACACCCAGAGATGCTCCTTACCTTCAAGGGTGTTGTAATCCCAATCAGGGCGGCGAAAGAGGAACCCCAAGTCTATGGCAGTCGGATCCTGGGTAGGGCAGCCATCCACACCCGGGAACCTGTTTGCGTGCCTCTCTCCAGATCCTGCCTCTTTCTTTTGTCGTAAACGGGACCTGCATGAGTTGGAGGCAGTCGTCCCAGGTGGGTTGGTGAGTGAATAAAATAGACTCGAAAAGATTAATAAGACCTCTAGGTTTTTCTGAGAATGGGGGGTTTTGATTCTTCCAATTATATAGGTCGGAGGTAGAAAAGGGCCAATACTGCATGGTTTGTTGGCCATTTTTGCCTGCCGGCCCTACAGCCCTTAAAGGGGCTAGAATAGCCAAATTTTCTGCCTTCCCCTTCCCCCGTGTACGTGCGCTCAGGCCTGGTGATGAGATCGGGCTGGAGGTGGAGTCAGGCACCGCTGCGTCTGCCCCTCTGCCTCGGCCCCTTCGGCCCCTTCGGCTGCTACATCAGCATATGCAGGCAGTGCCGATGGGACAGCGGTGGTGGCGAGGTCGTCGTCCAAGGCCTGGAGGAGAGAAGGGGAAGAGTCCAGAAGGACCGGTGTTCTCCTGTCGCGGCGGGGAGTTTGGGTGACATAGATATGCGTTGTCCGTCCATTAGAGGAAATAATGCCACGAGGACAAAAAGGCCGTAACCAGTCAAGTGGAAAAACAGGCAGGTCCTCCCAAAGGAGGATGTAAGGGACCTGTTTAGGATGCAAGGTTGTGACAACCTTTTTTACTTGACGAATGAGGAAAAGGTCCAAGGAACCACCACGGGGCCATCGAAGATCTGGAAAGGAAGGCCATTGAGGCACACAAAGAGTAATAAAGAGACGTTTACGAACATCTAGGGAAAGATTTTGAACCCGAGTGCGAACATCTGAAAAATGATCTCCCATGAGTGAGAGGGGAGTTGTCTGTCCCTGGCCCATGTCCTCGCCCCAATGTCCTGAAAAATGAAAAAAGTGGGGGATGAACAACAAACAGTAACAGACAGAAAACGAACGCAAGACAACACAAGCCGGCTGGACGACTACTTAAGGCCTTAAAAGAATTTACCAGTGTGCACACAGGACCAGGTGTCCGCATCGGTCCCCTAGCCTCCGGCATCCACTTCAGAGGATCCGGCAGAAGAGGTACAACTGCCCCTGTCATCAGGACGTCTCCCAACTCATCCATCTCCCAAGTCTCCGAGACTGAGATCGGCATCAACGAGGCCAGCTTACAAATTGGGAGGTCGATCCCGCACAAGCCCCCAAATGTTAGAGCACACCGGCGCCGAGTCCAAGAACAACCAAGACCCAAGTTCAATGCAAAAGCAAAAGTGGCCTTTATTAGCTAGCTCGAGCTAGGGTCCGAACCCCCGGAGTGGAACCGACACAGCGGCCGCGCCCAGACAGGGTTGGACCCCAAACTTCAAAATTAAGCATTTTATATAGGCATTTAGAATGGGTTCTTTAGGGTAATCTGACAGTTACAGATGGCAAATCTTAGAGTCTGGGTTCCGGGAATTGCAGCCTCTCTGTCAGCTATGCTCTTAAAATGGCTGCTATATTCTGAAAATGGCTGCTGTTATGCTTTAGCTTACAAGTTTATTTCCTCACCTGTGAAAGGGAGCTAGCACCACCCACCGTCTGTGGGAAATACTTAGAAAAGAATCTGTTGCCCACTTTCTCTTCAGGGTCCAGACCTCACTCCAGAGGCATCAGCTCACACCCATACAAGATCCCCCAAGCCCTATGTCCTTCAGTGGCCCCAAGGGAGCTCCTCTGAGTCTAGGCTTCGGGACCTTACCTGGAAGCCTTGGCCATGGGTGAAGGGCATTTTTGGGGGCAGGTTTCTCTCCTCAGACCCTCAACAGCTGTTGATGTGGGTGTTTCGGACCATGGTATTTTCATTGAATCGGGGGTTCAGGTGGAAGACGATGTCACCCCCAGAGCGCAGGTTGATGTAGAAACTGGGGTCAGGTGTGGAACTCACATGGACCTCCTCAGCCTACTGGGCCACCCTGGCCAGCCCAGAGCCTAGGGGATAGCCAGAATAGCGGGGCTGCCTCCTCCGGGAGAGGCCTGGCTTACCTCTGAGTCCTGGGCAGGACGGTGCCTGACACGACGAGGTTCTTCAATGGGTACAGCCCTCCAGGGATGGTAGCAAAGAAAGGCAGGGTCTAGACAGGGGGAGGGGCCGGGCAGGTCACCAGGGGCAGCCAGAGCCCAGCCCTGCTGCACGGGGCCCTTGGTACCAAATTCTAAGGATGCAGAGTGTCAGCTGAGCTGACTACCACGCCTAGAGTAGTGTGTTTTTGTGGAACAGTCCATGGTCGCTTTATCTGATTCACTAAATGCTCAAGGAAGTTGTTCAGCCTTCCTCAGGTCAGGGGGATTAAACTGTCAGCAGAGGCACTTTGGCCAGACGCAGAGGGTAGCTGACTGAAAGGGACGGCCTCCCTTCACGGTCAGGGGACATTACAGTTGAAAGCACCTCTCAACACTCTCCTTACTTACTGGCTGTTTGAAGAACGTCAGCTGACTGAAGCGCCGCCTTTAATTTTGTGAGCTGCCCTTCACCCCCACGCTGCCCAATGCAAACCAAACCTCCACTCCTCCCAGGGCAACCACTTACGTAAGTTGGGTTGGGGTACACCATAGGTGGGATGATAGCGTTCTGTTGAAAGAGACCAGGAAATCCAGTGTGGGCATGTGTGCCCATGGCCCCCACACAGTCTAGGGGTGCTCCGATGTGAGCCTGAGGTCCTGAGGCTTCAGCCCTTGAATTCTCCCATCCCCCTCCCTCTCATGTCAGCCATGATAGTACTTCCTGCCCTGTCCCCCAGCCCCAATGTGGTCCTCAGCCTCCCCAGCACATCCACCAGGTAGCCCCACTATCCCCAGGCTTCCCACAGAAGAAGGAGAAGCACCTTCAGCCTGTGACCAGCAGTGACATCTTGGGGACTTATTCTCAGAAGGCAGGGCCATGAACCTCACTTCCAAGGGCCACCGCACCCCCTTTTAAGTGCCAGAAGGACAGGTTTTCCTGCTGGTCCCAAGGAGACCCACCTTTTGGGCTGCTGGGTAAATCCAGACTGTCTGCTGTCCCAAGGAAAGTTGCCCCTGAGTCATGAGCTGAGACCTAACCTCAAATGTCTGCATGCAAGATATTGACAAAGGTTTCTTCTGGAGAAGAAATACAGCTGCGCTTGTGGCCCGGCCCATTTTTCCTTTCAGGGGAATTTCCCAGCATGGCCAAGCTTTGTAGGAGGAAGGAAATGTGGGCCTCGGTTTTCTGTGACTGCCGGCAGGACGGCAGTGGCTTGAGAAAAAGTGTCAATTCAGGATGTTCTCCAATGCACCAGGGACAGCCCACCCCTGTCCCGACTCCCACCCACAACTCCCACCCCCACTTCGGCCAGGCAGGTGGTCAAGTGGTCCTACCTCACTGCCCTCTCCCCTCCCCATAGGGGAAGCCTAATGCCTGGTCACATGTCCTCCTGCTAACCCACAGGAAGACCCAAAACAAAGAGGTTCCAAAGACAGAGCAAGAGACACAAGAGGACTCCCGCAGGCTCCCCACACACCTGCAGGCCGAGGGGATAAGAAAAGCAAAATGGGGGCTAATGTTGGAGCCACATGGCAATACAATGATGCAGAAATTGTGGGCACAGTCCCAGACTATTGCTCATCTTCCTCTTGCTCCCAAGCAATCCTGTGGCTCTAAGAATCTTATTCACCCTGGCAGGTACAATACAGTTATGAAATGGGATGGGGGTTGGCAGGGTTGGAGGAGAGGGCCATCCAAATTGGCTGCTCCAAAGACACAATAAGTCTGGTGCAGACCATATCGCTTGCTAAGCTCCCAGAGGCAAGCACATCCCCGCCATGCCTTTTTCATAGTTGAAGGCTACCATTTACTGAAGACCTACTATGTGCCAGGCTCTGGCTTCAGTGCTTTCTGAGGGAGGAATCCTCAGCTCCTGTTTCACTGGCAAGGCAAACAGACTCAGAAAGGCTAAGCAAGTTGCTCAAGCTCACCCAAGCAGCAAGTGATAAAATCCAAAATGGCATCTTGTCCTGTCTGACAATCTCCACCACACCCTGCCCTGCCCTCCCAGTGGCAAAGCCAGGCTGCTGCAGAGATTCCTGGAGGTCCAGCTGTACCTGACAGACCACAGGAAGGCTAGGGAGAGAGATAGCCCTGCCCCTACTTCCCACTGATTCAGGAACCTGTCCCTATCCAATATACTATTTTGGACTTCTTTCTCCTGGCTGTGCAAACTACACTCCACATTTATTTCTTACTGATGCCGCTATTACTGTGCTAATGACCAGCCCCAGTCCCAGCCAGAGGCTCCTGGGTGTGGGGAGGAGGTGGTGGGGTGGGGGGACAGACACACAGGCACAAGCACAACGGGATGGGTGATGGCACAGCACAGAGGTGTACAAAGTCCCGCCTGATGGAGGGAGGAGGCATCCAGCCAACTGCCTGGCAGGAAGATGCCAGGAATGACATTTGAATAAAACATCTATGTAGAACATTTTGTATTATTTTATTTAAAGATTTATTTATTTATGCATACAAGAGCTGGGATACAGGCCAAAGTTGTGGGAGGGGGTGAGAGGATACCCCTGAGAGAGTGGGGAACAGAACAGACTGACTGAAATATACTGCTGAGGGGAGCAGTAGTGAGACAGGAGAGGTATGTCGCGCCATGTATGTAGCTCCCTGGCCGGCTGGGTTCGATCTAATGCTGCAGAGACTGTGGCCTGCTGATAGTGTGGCGCTCAACGCCTTGTGCCATAAGGGAGGACCTAAATAGAAACATTGAAGGGCCTTTAGAAGCTTGCTTGTGGGGGATGTGCAAGCAAGGCAGACAAAGGGGGCTTTCAGCATGTACAAAGGAGTAAAGGTCGGAGAGAGAGCCTTGGGGGAGCAGGGGAGGCTACTTGGGTGGGGGGCTTTAAAATTTTTAAACAGGGAGAAGTGTGATAAGATGTGTCTGGCAGTGGGTGGGTCTGAGGGAGGGAAACTAGACCAAGGTCCTCTGGGGAGGCACCACATGCCCTGGAGCCAGGCAGAGGCTCCAGGAGGGAGAGTGCTGGCCATGGAGAGCCATGGAGGAGGGGAGGGGAGACTCAAGGATGACTCCTCAGTCTCGAGCTCTGGGCTGGGTGGTGTGGCTGAGACAGGGCACACTTGTGTGGACATGCTGGGGTCACTAGGACTTTTAGATCCCTCTGTTGACTACTCCCCGTGGCCTCTGGGAATCACTCACTCGTTGTTTGTTCTTCCCCCTGGGCTTAGATGAGAAATGAGAAGGCTTTGAGAATCCACTGTGAGGGCAGAATGGACAGGGGCCACATGGGTGTTGTGTTAAAACAAAAGGCAGGCATCAGGGGGAGAGGGAAGGAGTGTTAGGGGAGCCAAGGAAGAGAGAAAAGGCAGGAGCAGGGGTAAGAGGGAGAGAGCCGGCAGGCAGAGAGAGCAGACCGCCACACAGGCAGGACAGGACCGGGAGGTGTGTCCCTGGAGTCACCTGGCTGGAGATTGGCCGGTACCTTCAGCACCGCACCCCCAGCCTGTGCCAGGTGGACGGTATTACCTGGAAGCTGATCTCGGACAGCTGCACGCAACCATTGACACAGAGAGTGTCTGCACGGTGGTAGGGCACGCGGTGTGAGTATTGCAAGAAGCAGCTCCCGTTCACTGTCACCTGCAGAGAAGAGTCACGCACAGGAAAGGGGGACACACCCAGCCTCCAGCACACCCCCTGCCTCTAGACATGAGCACCTGCCTCTGGTTATCTCATCTGTCTCCCTTAGGGGAGGGCCCCAACCTGCACAGTGTGTCAGGGACATACCCGTGAGCCCAGGTGCATGGAGACTGCTTGGCTCTAGTTGTTGGCTTTTAGTTCTGTGGTGTTTGTTTATTGCAGGGTTTGTCTTTCTAGTAGTAGCTCACCTGGGGGTTATTCAACATGCGCATTTATGTGTGCATGCAAGTATTCACTGGGAACCAAGGAGAGGCGACCTTGGGTTGCACACTGTGGGGTTGGAAACTTCCACGTTCCCTATACCGATAAGCTTGCCCAACTCCCCACACCCAAGGCCCAACTCTGTTTGCAAAAGTGATTTGCGACCTCTGGCAAAACAGCCATTAGTAGAACCTGAGCAAAGGTTATAATAATGTGGCTGAAAAATAGGTGTCCCAGGGACCTGGGGTGCAGCAAGGAATGGAATTAACCTGGACCTTAAAGACCCTGGAGGTCAAAAAGTAACAAGGTGACTTAACTAGTTGGGGTTTTTTTAAGATTTTTTTTTTTTATTTATGCATACAAGAATTGGAGTGTAGGCCAGAGATGCGGAGAGACAGGATTCACCAGAGACATAGTGGGGAACAGAACAGGCAGATTTATTTACTGAGCACATTTACTGAGATACACTTGTGAGGGGAATAGCAGGTGAGATAGGAGAGGTCTGCTGTGCCATGTGGGTAGCTCCCTGGCTGGCCAGGGATCGAAATCATGCCGCAGTGGTTGGCAATAGCTTGATAGCGCTGAAACTTAACCACTGTGCCACCAGGGAGGCCCAACTAGTTCCTTCACTCTGATTAAAAGAGCCCACAGGTGGGCCTCCCTCATGGCGCAGGCAGTTGAGTGCCGCACTGTGAAGCTGTCTGTAGCCTCTGCAGCACGGGTTCGATCACAGCCAGCAAGAATCCCACATGGCGAAGCAGACCTCTCCTGTCTCTCCCGCTGCTCCCCTCAGCAGTGTATTTCATCAGTCTGCCTGTTCTGTTCCCCTCTCTGTCTGGTGAATCCTCTAACCCACCCGCATATCTGGCCCATACCCCGGTTCTTGTATAAATAAATAAATGTTTAAAAAAAAAAAAAGGCCCAGAGGCACCAGGAGGCTGCAGCCATCACTAACACCCTTAAAAGGAAACAGTCTTACTGCTACATATTATTGCTCAACCCAACCAAGTTAATGCGAGTTTGTAAAAGTGATTCACTGAGCCCCAGGGCTGGGGACAGGCAGCAGGAGGGGCAGCAAGATCCCTGCTCACCTGGAACTCTGAGCTCTTCACCAGGAAGCACAGCTCAAATGAATGTCCATTCTGAAAGGGCATTGGCATCTTCCTCTCCTCTTGCCCCCAGCACCCATTCTGCATTGTGTTGCAGACCACATACCCTCCATCCTCAAAGCGTGGGTTAAAGTGGAAGGCTATGTCGTTGTCGGAGTCGCCAGACTGGAAGTTCACACGAAACCTAGGCCAGGAAACAACGTGGCTGATGCCCAGGAGGACCTACTCACCTCTAACTTCATCAAGAACTTGCCCGCTTACCTGCCGAGCAGAGATTAGTTTGTTGACATTCTCTGTTCTGCTAGTTACACTTAGCTAGTTACACTTGTGCCCTTATTACATCTTGCCCCTGCAGTGTGACTTTCTAAAAATAAGTGGGAAGTGGGTGACAAAAAATGTGGACACTACCCACAAGAAGCCCAGGTCTTGGAAACTGATTACAAATTGGAGTCAACGAAGGAAGTTGAGAAACGTGCCTAGAAGTGAGAGTCTTTACCTCCCAGGAACACTTGGAGGCAAGCTCCCAGCTGCTCAGCTGGGGAAAAGACAACATGTTTTCAAAACCTGTGAAATGTGTGGGAAGGTCCTTATAAAGACAGTGGCTAAGAGGAAGGCCGTGAATAAACATTAACTCTGGGACACCAGAGACTTTAGTCTGCTTGTCCTTCATTGGAAGGAGGTGTGTGTCCCCCATGAGGTGTGGAAAGAGTCAGCCAGATCTGTCCTCACAACTACCCTCTGCACCATCATTCAATGACCTAGAACCTCAAGTTGCTGCACCTGCCTTGGGGGAGGATTAATGAAATGGAGTTCAAGAGGTCCCCAATGCAAGTAAATGTTTGTTATTGTCTCTCCTTGGAAGAAGTCCTTCACCATAAAAACGTCCTTTGACTATAGCTGTGGCTCTAAGGTTGAGGAATTAAAAGAAGCTTCCAAGAACCCTGACTCAAAAAGAGTGGCTGTTCTGCCTTTTCCAAGACATATCTTGCTAGTGACCTAAGAGTAAGCTCCAGACTGAGGTCTCTGCTGAGGCGACACCCACCCTCCCAGAACTTGGCCCCAACACTGTTCACAGCCTGCCCTGGGGCTCCTTCTGGCCTTCAGGAGGTACCACATGTGAGGAGCTCAGGGAGGTGCACTGTCCCATCACCAAAGGACGTTCTCTGACATCCCTGTGGAGCCCATTTGGTTTCTCTCTGGAGAGGAGAGTCCCGGAGTCCGCCCTCAAATCCAGGCGGCTCAGTGAGCTCTCCGTCCACAGGCACAGGATGTGCTGCCAGGAGCACTCAGGGAAAGGACCCGTGACCCGAACCAGGAAGTCCATGTTCCTCTTCACATGGAGAATAATGTCCTGAAAGAGCTTTAGGCCTGCATGTTGCCCGTGTGGACCCTCAGGTTCATTCCTGCGAGCTTTGAAAATCCCGCACAAGGAAAGGGTTAAAGCAAAAGCTCCCATGGGAAGAGGTGGGGACAGTTTCCACTGGACAGGAGGGGTGGAGAGGTCAGACAGAGAGGAGGAGAGAAAAGGACGGAAGTTTAGACACGAGGTCGGGACTGCCCTGGCAGGCGGGGTTTAAGGACTCCAGAGGCCTGACTTCCCTCAGCGTCTCCTGGGGGCACTCAGGGCTCTCAGAGAAGCCCCATGGCAGCATGGCTGTGTCCATCTGGCTGGAAGGCCATGGAGGGGGAGTTGCCTAGAACCAGGATGCCACGCTGAGGTAGGATTGGGCCTGGGAGTGGCATGAAGGGATCCAGAAGGTCCCAGGACTCATGCAAGTCAAAACAGGACCACTGGGGTCAGAAATCAGCTGGGATTGAGATAAGTCATCTGAGAGAGGGCCACATGTGGGGGGATTCCATGGGCATTGCGGACTTCAGCAAGCAAGCATTATGTAGGCCTAGCTGAGCAAAAATCTCCCACTTCCGCACCCTTGGATCTCAGCAGAGGTCAGCTAGGGCTGCAAAAGCATGGGGGCCTGCCATTTTCTGAGCTGGCCAAACTCGTTCCTGTTCCCAGACATCCCCCAGGACTTTCCTCAGGAGCAAGTAGGGGAAACAGTACTGAGATTTTGCATTTTGAATTGACTTAGCATTTTCCAGAAAAGACCTTGAAACCCAAAGTGGCCGAATTACATTTGATGACAAAGCTGAAATATTTCCACATCAGCAGAATGAAGGGCAGCTATGGGAAATAAAGGAAATCATTTCTTCTTTTTTCAGCTCTGGGTCAGAGAGTACAAAGTTCAACACCACAACTTTTTATGCTTCTGCACAGGACTGCATGGGTGCATAGATTGTACTAGCCCTGTTAGCCCCTTGTGTGATCGGCAGGTGACAGTGGTGCTGTGGGTGATGCTGGGGACTGGGAGGGACTGAGTGAACCGACCAGAGCTTTAAAGTGCTGGGACTTGCTAAGGATTGAGGCTGGAGAGAAACAAAAGTTCCAGGTACCTGTTTTCATTGGAGTAAATAACGGTCCCTTTGACAGTGATTTTGCTTCCTTCTTGTAGACCCCCTGGAATTCGCCCGCAAAAAGGGACAGCCTGCAGGAAGAAGATGTAAGTCAGTCAGTGGGTCCACCCCCTTCTGTTCCTGCCCTTAGCCTCAGCACTTGCTTGGGCTCACCTGAATGCCTGGCACCTCCCTGGGGGCCTGGTGTGGCTGTGAACAGCACAGAGGGTGTCTGGGCCTCACTGATTTTCCAGGCCCAGGAGGAAGCAGATGAGAATCTAGATAGTCTTACGGACATTCTGAGATTGTGATGTGGAGACACGGGCTTGGGGACGATGGGACAGAGAGATGGCCTCCCTTGAGAGTATGCAGGAAATGAGGGTTCCAGGAGGGCCTTTTAGGAAGGGAAGTAGCATGCACCCTGTCCTGAGATGAGAGGCCCTGGGCCCCCCACCAAGTTCCTGGTAAACACCCGGGGCCTGACTGGAGCTCAGACAGCCTCAGGGACAAGAGTCCCATCGCCCTATTCTAGAGGAGAAACCTTTCTGCTCACATGAAAGGGCCAAGAAAAAGGCACATTTCCCTGCCCACCCTTCCATTGACAATGGCGATCATGACATTTTCAATTTCCCAGCCACTTAGTGGCACCTATTTCCAGATCTTCTCTGCAGTCACAGGGCAGGCCCTGCCTCTACTTCTGCTTCTGGGCCCTATAATCCTATTCCAGGCCCTTGGCTGACTCCAAAGCTCTAGTGTGTTCTCTCCTCTGCTCCTAGGCCCCATCAACAAGCCCTTTGTCAAATTCCATTTCCCAGTCCTCTTTAAAAGAGGGATGGTTATGGTGGGCACACATATCCACGTGCCCACTCCAGGTTGAATCTTAATTCTGCTGCTCATCACATGAGTGGCCTTTAGAAACTTACTAAACTCTCTTTGCCTCAGTTTCCTCATCTGGAAAATAAGGGTAAAGTTACCTACTGTATAAGATTGTTTGGAGATTTAGTAAGAATATCTGTGGAAGAGGTTGACACATAGTAGGTGTCTTCCTACCATGGTCTCTCTGAGCAAAATTCCCAAACTGGTTACTGTCCAACATTCAAAGCTTATTCCTAGAATGAATTTTATCTAATATGTTTCTGTCACAATCTGCAGTAAACATGATCCTATCTCCTAGCAAATTTTCACATTTTCAAATTGTTAATGTCTTATCTAACTTCTCTTTTGTGTTAACACCCGACAAAAAGGAAATGTCTATAGGAGCCAGGCAGATGGTGCATATAGGTGAGATTCTCAGTAGGGTCCAATAGGGAATGGTGGGTACTATGACAAAATAATCTCATATCTTTCATCTAGAAGGGCAGGATCCCCTCAGGTCTAAGCAACAATTATTATCTGGGCCCAGTGTTGTTAGAGCTTCCAGTTTTTTAGGAGAAGATAGATATCTCGACTTTTTATTTTCTGTAAAATTTTCTAATTCCTAGGGGAAAATTCTTTCAAAAGGATTGTGGAAGAATTGAAAGAAACATAATGAAATACATGCAATGGAAAGACATAATGAAGTATATGCAAATCTGGATTTGCCTGAAAGTATCTCTAGGGTGGAAAAGAATGTAAGTTTGAGCATAGATGAAGCAAGACAGGTCTTGAGTTAATAACTGTTGAAGTCAGGTGATGCCTATGTATTGTTCTTATTATTCTCTCTGTATTTTCTATAGGAATAGTCAAAAACAATCAATGTATTTTGAAAAAAAAAATTACCCAGCAGCCAAGGACAGTCCAGTGGCCATTGCCTTGTGACCTTGAGTTGTATGACCTCTCAGAACCCAGGGCAGAATCCCAGCTCTCAGGCACACTCACACAGTGTCCTCACTCATGTGGGTGGTGCTACCCATGGACATTTGGGAGGGCATCATGTTTTACCTCAGGCCAGGTCTGAGCAATTCACAAGTCCCCTGCATCTCCATTCTCATGGTTGTCTTTTCCACATCAGTGGTTTTGGAGAAGCAAGTCAGCCTGATACATGTGTGAGCTGGTGGCACACTCCCTGAAAACTGCTTCCCCCATTTGTAGAAGTCTGAAATTCTCCTAGGAGTGTTTCATGCAGTCAGGAGAGATAGTGCTTACATTTTGAACACTCCTGGCAAGTTTGTGGCCTTCACTTAAGCATCTTCACAGAACTGAAATCACTGAATGATGGGGGTTGGGGAGTTGTCAGGCACAGAAGAAAGGTGAGGACAGAGAGGGGAAGGAGGCTACAGACCCAGGTGGCACCTACAGCTTAATCTTAACCAATGATTTCTCCCCAAAAGTTTTTTTTTTTTTAAAGATTTTTATTTATATTCATACAAGAGCTGAGGTACAGGCCAGATGCGCGGGAGGGCAAAATGATTCACCAGAGGCAAAGCAGGGAGCAGAACAGGCAGACGACAGAAACACTGCTGAGGGGAGCAGTGGGTGCGACAGGAGAGGTCTGCTGCACCATGTGGGATTCTCGTTGGCCAGCTGGGATCAAGTCAACACTGCAGAGGCTGTGGACAGCTTCACAGAGCAGTGCTCAACCCGCTGTGCCACCGGGGAGCCCCCAAAAGTTTTGTTAGATTTCAATATCTTAAATGGCATCCCCAAATTCTGACAAACACTATATTTAGCTGAGTATAATTTTCAGACAAGGTTATTCACTGCAGAAAAAGATTGAAAAGAATCTAAAAGACCACAATTGGAAAAGGGTGAAATAAATTATGGTATAAATTATGGTGAAATAAATATATTTTACATACCTTTACTTATTGAGGGATGAAGTATCTCTGGAAGGAGTCAAGGAAACTGATAACACTAGCTGACTCTGAGGTGGACAGGGTAGGATAAATAAATACTACCTCCACCCCCACCCAAAACATCCACTTTCCCGTTGCGGGAATCTGAAAATGCTACAACTTGTGGCAAAGGGACTCTGCAGGTGTGAGTAGTGAGGGGTCTTGAGATGGGCCATCTCCCAGCTTCCCAGGGTGGGCCACAGAGTCACAGGCTCCTCAGCCTAGGGAGGCAAGAGAGCAGAGTCAGTAGTAGGAGCTGTGTCAACAGAGATGGAGGAGGAAGCAGCCTTCAGCCAAGGGAAACTGGCAGCTACCAGACTCTGGAAAAGCAAGAGACGAATGTTCCCTGAGGCCTCCAGAAGGATGCAGTCTTACTGACATTTTGATTTTCTTTTCTCACCTCCAACAAGACTGTAAGAGAATGGATTTGAGTTGTTTTAAGCTGGGCCGGCCATGGCTGCTCTGTGTGTGTTTGTGTGTGAGTTTGTGTGTGTGAATGAGACGAAGAGTGAGAGAGAGTGAGAGAGAATAGGCCCGTGCTTTTCCTGCCACACAGGCTGCCTATCTCGGTGAGCACAGAGCATCCTTGCTCCTGGCTCACCAGCTGCTCCCCACGGCCACAGTGAGTCCTGTCCTGTTTGTAGGTCCAGCCGCCCCTCTGGCCGTGGGAGGAGGCTGGGCCAGACGAGACCAGGCCTGAGCTGAGAATGGGCTGAAGCTCCCAAGCCAGACCAAGTGGTGTGGACAGCTCTGCAGAAGACGGCTGGGCCACGTGCCCTTCCTGTCACACTATGGAGAAAGTGAGGGTCCGACTCCTTGGGGCCAGGGGTTCACCGGGAGAGGCCCCAACGTGGGATGAAGTGTCCCAGTGCCCGTGGCAACTGCCACTATTCTTTCTCTTGTCTGGACTCCAGGGCCCTGTTTTAATTCGCTTCTGCCCACAGGAGGGTTTCCCTAATGATTTGAAGCTGTTGGCTTCTGAGTACAAGGATTGGAAAGAACAAAACATTTATTAATATAAATGCATTTTGGGAAAAACCTGGGATCCCCCATCTGGAGAGTGTGGGTGCCCAAGGTCACATTTTTTTTTTTTTTAAATATTAAATTTTATTTTTATATTCCCCCATACAATTGCAAACGCCCCATTCTGACCCCAATCCTTCCCCTCCCGCCCCCCACCCCCCAAAAAGTGTCTCTGGTTCATAGTTTTTTGTTGATTTTGATTTTCACTTTCTTATATTCACCAAGGTCACATTTTGAGCCTGAGGCCCACTGAGGTATTCACACCTGGCGAAGCTTCCTCCAGCCCCACCCCAGAAGCCCCCACCAGCTGGTCACATGGCACCAGGCCAGCAGGGAGGGCACAGGCCAATTAGGGGCCCTGCTGAGGCAGGACACAGTGCACAGTCTCAGTCACTCCCCGCACTCAGCACCTGCCGCTGCCCATCCAGAAAGGCTCTGGAAGCTCGCCTGGCCCTCCCCTGCGCCTGCCCCTTGAAATCTCTGCCAATCAGACTCCTGTACAGGCTTGAGCCCACGACACAGTGAACACAGACGCCTCCTGAGCCCGGTTGCCGCTTGCCTGACTTGCTCCATTATCGCTTTCCCCCTTGTCCTGGAAGTCAAGTCATGTTCCTTCTCTGCCACTTACCATTGGGGCCATTTGGTAGGTGACTGCAACCTCTTTAATCTCAGATTTTCCAAGGATGGAGTGGGGACATTAAGACTCCCTGGTGGCACAAGAAGTTGGGTACCACGCTGTGAAGCTCTCTGCACAATCTGAGGCACGAGTTCGATCCCTGACCAACTAGTGAGCAACCCACATGGAGCAGCAGACCTCTCCTGTCTCGCCCGCTGCTCCCCTCAGCAGTGTGTTTCAGTCAGTCTGCCTGTTCTGTTCCCCACTCTGTCTCTGGTGAATTCTCTCACTCAACGCATCTCTGGCCTGTACCCCAGCTCTATGTGCATAAATAAATAAATCTTAAAAAAAAAAATACTCCCTGGTTTTGAACAAGACACCTGCAGACAAGGTCTACATATGTTGCAAAATGAGGCAAAAGGCGACCCTTCACATGCCCCTTCTCCCCTCACACACTCCTTTCTCATCCCTCTGAAAACACCCTGGCCTGCCCTTGACCTAATAATTCACTCCTCAGGGAGCAGAAACTCCTCAGATGGCCTTCCCTGCTGCCCCCAGACTCCTTAGAATACAAAACAGCCTCACAGCTCCCAGGACAGGCAGGTACCTTGCAAACTCTCTAGATAGGAGACCCACTTAGTCCTGACCTCAACTCAGGCGGGGTGGCTCCTGGATTATCCCCATTTTACAGATGTGGAAACCCAGGGAGGCAACAACCACTTGCCCGAGGTCATCCGGCTAGTGCTTGGTTGAACCCAGGGAAGCCATCTTTAAAGGGAGCGCCCCTGACCGCCTGGCTGGACTGGCCCCTTCCCCAGAAGTCCTATCACTTCCCCCACCCTGCCAGCCACCATTCTTCCATTTATCACCGACGCCTGCCTTCCCAAGAGCACCCAGACAGGTTAGACACCCAGAGGGAGCACAGACCCCAGTGCTGACCACACCACCCTCCTGGAAAGGCGTTGTTGGAACAATAGGAACAGAATTGTGCCAGCTTGTCCCATCTGGCTTTCTGTGTTCTCTTTGGGATATTACCTGCCCCTATGTCTCCCCTGGCACACACTCGCTGCCACCCATGAGTCCTTTCCTCAAAGACCCAGAACTGCTTCCCACAGCCTAGGCAGGCCCTCCACTCAGCCATCGCCACCCGTCAGCAGCACAGAACTCACTGGGTTCTTGTAGGTAACGGGCTGGGCACCACTGAAAGCCATCTTGTCCTGCTCCTGTGGCCAGCACTGCTTCCCCAGACAGTCCTCTGCACTGGAGAGGACTTAGCCAAGAAATAGAAGCCTAATCAATTTTGCATTTGTTCAATGGGGAGGAACCAGAAGCAGGAAGATGTGGTCTAGATATAACAAAGTGGGATGCTGGGGGAGGTGCAGTCTCTGGCAGAGAATCCGCTGCCCCCTCCCAGCCCAGAGACCCATTTTGCCTGACCCTTCTCTTCTGACAAGTTTCCAGATGTCACCATCCACAAGTGTGTGACTGTGTCCTGAGGTTGCTCCTGCAGACCTGCAGGAAAGGGCCTTTGTCCCTGGGTTGCTGGTACATGGGGCGGTCTGGTGGTGCTGGGGGATGGCCTGGTTAGACCCATTTTTATTCACAGAGAAACTGAGGCTCAGAGAGTCTAAGGGACATGACCAAGGCCACGCAGCTCACCACCTGTAGCCTGAGTTATATGAGGATTCTTAGGTCCTCACAGAGTAAGTGTCCCTTTAAAATTCCATTCCTTATATATAAACATAATCATAGAGACACCAGAAATGTTTTGCAGAGAGAAAATGTCCTAATGCAGGTTTTGTTCCAACAGGCTGCCCTGGGGCCTCTGACACTCCTCGCTGAGTGTGTCTTTCTTCTCTTCTCACTCCTTTTCTGGGCTTTAGAATGCACGCGAAGAATATTCCAGGTGACAGGGCAGTCAGGGAAACATGAGCCACACCGCCTTTACTTGACTTCAGCACCTAGTTAAGGGAAATGCTCAGTGCGCACAGACAGCAGAGTGGGCTGGGTAGGGGAGGCAGAGGGGCGGGGCGCTGATGTAAGCTTCCCTGAGGCCACCAGGTCCCTGCAGTGAGGAGGCACAGAGGTGACCCTGCGAAGACCAGGGAAGAGCAAGCGGGTGGAGTGTTCCCTGGGCCATGCATCCCTGCTCCCTCTGCTTTCTCCCACCTTCCCTAGAAGTGGCAGACTCTGCAGAGACCAACCTCTTTGACATGTGCACACAGACCACAGCCACGGTCCCTGTGAACCCCCTCCCTCCCCACTATGTTCTTGGGTCAGCCAGAACTTGACCTGACTGACCGGGAAGAAGGCAGGGTTGGAGCAGCCAGGGGTATTGCTAGCTCTGTTAGCTGACTCCGGCGCTGCTCCCCCTTCTTCCTTCCTACCCTACTCTGTGCTCTCAGGGAGCAAAATCCCTTTTTGTTCTCTGCAAGCATCTCCAGGAAAGGAACCATATTTACTGACACCAGAGGTTGACTAAAGAATCCAAGAATCTGGGCCTCCCCGGGTGGCGCAGGCGGTTGAGCGCTGCCCTATGAAGCTGTCTGCAGCCTCTGCAGCACCAGTTCGATCCCTGCCAGACAGTAAGGGTCCCACATGGTGCCGCAGACCTCTCCTGCCTCCCCCACTGCTTTCCTCAGCAGTGCATTTCTTCAGTCTGCCTCTTCTGTTCCCTGCTCTGTCTCTGGTGAATCCTCTCATGCTACCGCGCATCTGGCCTGTACCCCGGTTCTTGTATAAATAAATAAATTAAAAAAAAGATCCAAGAATCTGAGACGTGCCCAGGGCCATGCAGAGTCAGGATGAAAACCAGGGCAGCCTGGCTCCTGGGTCTGTGTGCCTCCCCCCACCTGACAGCCCCTCCTTTTTTGTGAGAGACCTCTGATGGAAATTAAGAGAGGACCCCGAGCCACTGTCCAGCTGAGCTGTGTCCAATAGGGCTCATGCTTCTAGTCCAAGTGCTGGTGATCTATTGCTGCTTGAATATTCTAAAACTTAGTGGCTTAAAACATTAATAGCATGGGCCTCCTGGTGGCACATGGGGTTAAGTCTCAGCACTATGAAGCTCTTGGTAGCCACTGCAGCACGAGTTCGATCCCTGCCCAAGGAGCTGACCCACATGGCAAGGCAGACCTCTCCTGTCTCACCTGCCTCAGCAATGTATTTCAGTCAATCCACCAATTCTACTCCCCACTCTGTCTCTGGTGAATCCTCTCATCCCTGTACCTCTGGCCTAATCCCCAACACTTACATGCATAAAAAATTAAGTCTTTTTAAAAATAATAAAACCGCAAGGGGTTAAGCACAGCACTTTGAAGCTATCCGTAGCCTCTGCAGCAAGAGTTTCATCCCTGGTCAGCAGGGAGCTACACACATGGCGCAACAGACCTCTACTGTCTCGCCTGCTGTTGCCCTCAGCAGTGTATTTCAGTCAGTCTGCCTGTTCTGCTCCCCGCTCTGTCTCTGGTGAATCCTCTCACCTCCGCACCTCTGGCCTGTATCCCAGTTGTTTTATGCATAAAAAACAAAATCTTTTAAAAAAATAAAAATAAATTTTAGGACACAGGCCTGTGCTGGGGGGTGGCTGCTAGAGCATAAGGCTATGATTAGTTCCGAAATTCCTAGAGAACTTTCATCAGGTTCCTCTATAAGGCCTCAGTTCTGCTATCCTTTCAAAACTTCCCCTTTCTGCTGGCAAGGCAAGGAAGAAACTGAGCTTTTCACCTTATGAACCCTAACCATTTCTTGAACTTAGAGTTAACCCTCCTTTAAGTTAAGTTGGGGGTGAGAGTTGGAAACCTGCGTCCACATCGGATCTAGAGAGAATCACAGGTTGCCGGCATGTTAGGAACATGGAAGATCTGATCTGCTGCCGGAGTCCACTTGGGCTGAGAGAAAGAAGTCCCGGGTCTATGTGTATCTCCCAGGAAGCAGGCCTGGTGTTCCGGGAAGTAAGGAGAGTGGGTCCTCCCACCATCCTTGAGCTTTCACTAGGTGTAAAAGTGACTCCCAGCACATTTGTTTGGCTACGGCAAGACTCCCGCTGTCTTTATCAACCAACATCCCGGAGATGCAGGACCCAGGCCAGGTCACAGCCAATAAGAGGTGGAGACTAGACTCCCCGTTGGTGTCCCCTGGTGTTCATCCCCTCTTTCCCAAGTTCCTCCAAGTGATTTTTCCCCGTCTTGGTTTTCTATTGTACCCTGATGCTAACAGAGCGCGGCCCCCGAGTTTCAGCCGGGCGCACGTGGCTGCCCTAATGAAAGATGGCTCTGCCAGCGCTGTGGTCTGGGAAAACTACTTAACTTTTAGTGTCCCAGTGTCCGTTCTCACTTGTAAGGTAAGTGGTGATACGGGGTGAGAACGGAACCGAGCAGGGAAGCAGCAGGAGGGTCCGCGAGCTCAGCCCGCATCGAGTGGGGAACAGGGCCTGGCGTGCAGCGCATGTTCCATAACATGTCCTCGGCGCTGCGGGGCTGCATGGGAGGGGGCAGCTGCCCGCGGATGCTGCACACTCTCTGGCCAGACACGGGAAAGAAACCCCAGAGGACGGGTGTGTGGTCACTGGAGCCGGATCCCTCCCATGCTGACCTTTCAAGGGAGCAAGAGGGGAAGAGGAATTCTTCCAGAATTATTCCACCATCACCTCCTGTCCTCTCTGAGAGCTTCAATGCCAAGAGCTGGAAAGGTCTTTAAAAAATGCTCTCATGATATCTTCCTTGTTACAGTAATGGCCTCCTAGAGTTTCTCTTCCTTTGTCTACCCCTTTGCAAAGTGACTTTGCTTTTCCTCCTTTCAAGAGACACATGACTAGTTTCCCTCCTGTGACCTGCTGTGCTCAGCAGATGCAGCACAAGGAACATCCTGTGCTTTCTAGAGCTACACCTTGAGAGACTATGGGGTTAAATGGTTAAAATGATCACTTTTACATGTATTTCACTGTGATAAAAAAGACAGGAGGAAAGTTATTGAAAGGTTTGGCACAGTAAAGAAAAGGAGAGCCAGGCTAAACTTTCTCAAAGGACGGGAAAATTTATTGCACCCCGGGCGACCTTCGCGGACCCAAGGTGGCGGTCCGTGAAGTCATACCCGTTGTGGGGGGAGATGTCCTTTTATAGGGTGAGGAGAGGTTAGGCAGGAAAACTGGGTTGGCCAGGGGAGAAATAGGTTTAGGCAGAACAAAGTTGTTTCTTGTGGAGCCGGGTTGTTTTTCTCCTGTTTATGGTTTCATTTTCGGTTTGATGGAAGCAGTGGTCCTGGTGTCAGAACCATCTTGTTTTTTTGATGTGGGCTTCCTCATTCCTGGCCCCTGCGTTGACCTTTCAGTTATTAAGTTCCATCTTAACTTTTTCACCAGAAGTTCTGCATCTGAAACCTGCTTTCTGTGTGATAAAAGAGAGACCATCACAGGCAAGAGGCGATACCGGCACAGCCTTTCCTCTTCAGGTCCTCAAAAGGACTGGAAGAGACTAATATTTTTTTTGAAGATTTATTTATTTATGCATACAAGAACTGGGTGTAATCTAGAGGTACAGAGGGGGTGAGAGGATTCACCAGAGAGAGTGGGGAGCAGAACAGGCAAAATGAAATACACTGCTGGGGGGAGCAGCGGGCGAGACAGGAGAGGTCTGCTGCGCCATGTAGGAGATCAAACTCCTGCTGCAGTGACTGGTGACAGTTTGATAGTGCCATGTGGCACCCCTGTGCCACCAGGGAGGCCTGAGACTAACTCTTGACAGGAGAATAACTTTCTTGCAGTTTTTTTAGGGAGCAGCTCCGATATAAAACAGGTTGCCTGGCTGCGGGTCCTCACTCACGCGCTTAAAAGGGACTTGTTAATACTCCACTACAGGCACACACAAAAGGTTAATAAAAGGTTTATTTACAAGGGAAATGAGGAAATGTACAACTCAGGGAGAAAATAGGGAAATAAAGTCTTTAATGCGTCCTACCCGATCCGCAGACCTGGAAACCCAAAGGCACTCTCAGAGCTGGCCGAGTGCTGCGAGCTGGCGAAGAGCCAAAAAGGGTCTCCCCCAAAGCCCACGTGTCTGGTTTTATATCAAACCTGGCTGCTTAACCCCACCCTCAGATTCCAGCTACCTTCCCTTTGGTGGTGATGGGATTTGCCTTTCCCAATGTCCTGATGGCTTTGGTCTGGGGTGGGGGTGGAGTCCACAAAGCCTGTATGGAATTAGCTTTAGGACAT